AGAGGTTGGGTTACTCACTAGTCTGTGGGTGGGGCTGGGAGAGGTTGGGTTACTCACTGTGGGTGGGGCTGGGAGAGGTTGGGTTACTCACTGTGGGTGGGGAGAGGTTGGGTTACTCACTGTGGGTGGGGCTGGGAGAGGTTGGGTTACTCACTGTGGGTGGGGCTGGGAGAGGTTGGGCTACTCACTGTGGGTGGGGCTGGGAGAGGTTGGGTTACTCACTGTGGGTGGGGCTGGGAGAGGTTGGGTTACTCACTGTGGGTGGGGCTGGGAGAGGTTGGGTTACTCACTGTGGGTGGGGCTGGGAGAGGTTGGGTTACTCACTGTGGGTGGGGCTGGGAGAGGTTGGGTTACTCACTAGTCTGTGGGTGGGGCTGGGAGAGGTTGGGCTACTCACTGTGGGTGGGGCTGGGAGAGGTTGGGTTACTCACTGTGGGTGGGGCTGGGAGAGGTTGGGTTACTCACTGTGGGTGGGGCTGGGAGAGGTTGGGTTACTCACTGTGGGTGGGGCTGGGAGAGGTTGGGTTACTCACTAGTCTGTGGGTGGGGCTGGGAGAGGTTGGGTTACTCACTGTGGGTGGGGCTGGGAGAGGTTGGGCTACTCACTATGGGTGGGGCTGGGAGAGGTTGGGTTACTCACTGTGGGTGGGGAGGGGAGAGGTTGGGTTACTCACTGTGGGTGGGGCTGGGAGAGGTTGGGTTACTCACTAGTCTGTGGGTGGGGCTGGGAGAGGTTGGGCTACTCACTATGGGTGGGGCTGGGAGAGGTTGGGTTACTCACTGTGGGTGGGGCTGGGAGAGGTTGGGTTACTCACTGTGGGTGGGGAGGGGAGGGGTTGGGTTACTCACTAGTCTGTGGGTGGGGCTGGGAGAGGTTGGGCTACTCACTATGGGTGGGGCTGGGAGAGGTTGGGTTACTCACTGTGGGTGGGGCTGGGAGAGGTTGGGTTTCTCACTGTGGGTGGGGAGAGGTTGGGTTACTCGCTGTGGGTGGGGCTGGGAGGGGTTGGGTTACTCTCTAGTCTGTGGGTGGGGAGAGGTTGGGTTACTCACTGTGGGTGGGGCTGGGAGAGGTTGGGTTACTCACTAGTCTGTGGGTGGGGCTGGGAGAGGTTGGGTTACTCACTGTGGGTGGGGCTGGGAGAGGTTGGGTTACTCACTGTGGGTGGGGCTGGGAGAGGTTGGGTTACTCACTGTGGGTGGGGCTGGGAGAGGTTGGGTTACTCACTGTGGGTGGGGCTGGGAGAGGTTGGGTTACTCACTGTGGGTGGGGCTGGGAGAGGTTGGGTTACTCACTGTGGGTGGGGCTGGGAGAGGTTGGGTTACTCACTATGGGTGGGGCTGGGAGAGGTTGGGTTACTCACTAGTCTGTGGGTGGGGCTGGGAGAGGTTGGGTTACTCACTGTGGGTGGGGCTGGGAGAGGTTGGGTTACTCACTATGGGTGGGGCTGGGAGAGGTTGGGTTACTCACTGTGGGTGGGGCTGGGAGAGGTTGGGTTTCTCACTGTGGGTGGGGCTGGGAGAGGTTGGGTTTCTCACTGTGGGTGGGGCTGGGAGAGGTTGGGTTTCTCACTGTGGGTGGGGCTGGGAGAGGTTGGGTTACTCACTAGTCTGTGGGTGGGGCTGGGAGAGGTTGGGTTACTCACTGTGGGTGGGGCTGGGAGAGGTTGGGTTACTCACTGTGGGTGGGGCTGGGAGAGGTTGGGTTACTCACTGTGGGTGGGGCTGGGAGAGGTTGGGTTTCTCACTGTGGGTGGGGCTGGGAGAGGTTGGGTTTCTCACTGTGGGTGGGGCTGGGAGAGGTTGGGTTACTCACTGTGGGTGGGGCTGGGAGAGGTTGGGTTACTCACTGTGGGTGGGGCTGGGAGAGGTTGGGTTTCTCACTGTGGGTGGGGCTGGGAGAGGTTGGGTTACTCACTGTGGGTGGGGAGGGGAGAGGTTGGGTTACTCACTGTGGGTGGGGCTGGGAGAGGTTGGGTTACTCACTGTGGGTGGGGCTGGGAGAGGTTGGGTTACTCACTGTGGGTGGGGAGAGGTTGGGTTACTCGCTGTGGGTGGGGCTGGGAGAGGTTGGGTTACTCACTGTGGGTGGGGATTGGGAGAGGTTGGGTTACCTACTGTGGGTGGGGCTGGGAGAGGTTGGGTTACTCACTGTGGGTGGGGCTGGGAGAGGTTGGGTTTCTCACTGTGGGTGGGGAGGGGAGAGGTTGGGTTACTCACTGTGGGTGGGGCTGGGAGAGGTTGGGTTACTCACTGTGGGTGGGGAGAGGTTGGGTTACCTACTGTGGGTGGGGCTGGGAGAGGTTGGGTTACTCACTGTGGGTGGGGCTGGGAGAGGTTGGGTTTCTCACTGTGGGTGGGGCTGGGAGAGGTTGGGTTACTCACTATGGGTGGGGATGGGAGAGGTTGGGTTACTCACTGTGGGTGGGGCTGGGAGAGGTTGGGTTACTCACTGTGGGTGGGGAGGGGAGAGGTTGGGTTACTCACTGTGGGTGGGGCTGGGAGAGGTTGGGTTACTCACTGTGGGTGGGGCTGGGAGAGGTTGGAATACTCACTGTGGGTGGGGAGTGGAGAGGTTGGGTTACTCACTGTGGGTGGGGCTGGGAGAGGTTGGGTTACTCACTAGTCTGTGGGTGGGGCTGGGAGAGGTTGGGTTACTCACTGTGGGTGGGGAGGGGAGAGGTTGGGTTACTCACTAGTCTGTGGGTGGGGCTGGGAGAGGTTGGGTTACTCACTGTGGGTGGGGCTGGGAGAGGTTGGGTTACTCACTGTGGGTGGGGCTGGGAGAGGTTGGGTTACTCACTGTGGGTGGGGCTGGGAGAGGTTGGGTTACTTACTAGTCTGTGGGTGGGGCTGGGAGAGGTTGGGTTACTCACTGTGGGTGGGGCTGGGAGAGGTTGGGTTACTCACTGTGGGTGGGGCTGGGAGAGGTTGGGTTACTCACTAGTCTGTGGGTGGGGCTGGGAGAGGTTGGGTTACTCACTGTGGGTGGGGCTGGGAGAGGTTGGGCTACTCACTATGGGTGGGGCTGGGAGAGGTTGGGTTACTCACTGTGGGTGGGGAGGGGAGAGGTTGGGTTACTCACTGTGGGTGGGGCTGGGAGAGGTTGGGTTACTCACTAGTCTGTGGGTGGGGCTGGGAGAGGTTGGGCTACTCACTATGGGTGGGGCTGGGAGAGGTTGGGTTACTCACTGTGGGTGGGGCTGGGAGAGGTTGGGTTACTCACTGTGGGTGGGGAGGGGAGGGGTTGGGTTACTCACTAGTCTGTGGGTGGGGCTGGGAGAGGTTGGGCTACTCACTATGGGTGGGGCTGGGAGAGGTTGGGTTACTCACTGTGGGTGGGGCTGGGAGAGGTTGGGTTTCTCACTGTGGGTGGGGAGAGGTTGGGTTACTCGCTGTGGGTGGGGCTGGGAGGGGTTGGGTTACTCTCTAGTCTGTGGGTGGGGAGAGGTTGGGTTACTCACTGTGGGTGGGGCTGGGAGAGGTTGGGTTACTCACTAGTCTGTGGGTGGGGCTGGGAGAGGTTGGGTTACTCACTGTGGGTGGGGCTGGGAGAGGTTGGGTTACTCACTGTGGGTGGGGCTGGGAGAGGTTGGGTTACTCACTGTGGGTGGGGCTGGGAGAGGTTGGGTTACTCACTGTGGGTGGGGCTGGGAGAGGTTGGGTTACTCACTGTGGGTGGGGCTGGGAGAGGTTGGGTTACTCACTGTGGGTGGGGCTGGGAGAGGTTGGGTTACTCACTATGGGTGGGGCTGGGAGAGGTTGGGTTACTCACTAGTCTGTGGGTGGGGCTGGGAGAGGTTGGGTTACTCACTGTGGGTGGGGCTGGGAGAGGTTGGGTTACTCACTATGGGTGGGGCTGGGAGAGGTTGGGTTACTCACTGTGGGAGGGGCTGGGAGAGGTTGGGTTTCTCACTGTGGGTGGGGCTGGGAGAGGTTGGGTTACTCACTAGTCTGTGGGTGGGGCTGGGAGAGGTTGGGTTACTCACTGTGGGTGGGGCTGGGAGAGGTTGGGTTACTCACTGTGGGTGGGGCTGGGAGAGGTTGGGTTACTCACTGTGGGTGGGGCTGGGAGAGGTTGGGTTTCTCACTGTGGGTGGGGCTGGGAGAGGTTGGGTTTCTCACTGTGGGTGGGGCTGGGAGAGGTTGGGTTACTCACTGTGGGTGGGGCTGGGAGAGGTTGGGTTACTCACTGTGGGTGGGGCTGGGAGAGGTTGGGTTTCTCACTGTGGGTGGGGCTGGGAGAGGTTGGGTTACTCACTGTGGGTGGGGAGGGGAGAGGTTGGGTTACTCACTGTGGGTGGGGCTGGGAGAGGTTGGGTTACTCACTGTGGGTGGGGTTGGGAGAGGTTGGGTTACTCACTAGTCTGTGGGTGGGGCTGGGAGAGGTTGGGTTACTCACTGTGGGTGGGGTTGGGAGAGGTTGGGTTACTCACTGTGGGTGGGGTTGGGAGAGGTTGGGTTACTCACTAGTCTGTGGGTGGGGCTGGGAGAGGTTGGGTTACTCACTGTGGGTGGGGTTGGGAGAGGTTGGGTTACTCACTAGTCTGTGGGTGGGGCTGGGAGAGGTTGGGTTTCTCACTGTGGGTGGGGCTGGGAGAGGTTGGGTTACTCACTGTGGGTGGGGTTGGGAGAGGTTGGGTTACTCACTGTGGGTGGGGCTGGGAGAGGTTGGGTTACTCACTGTGGGTGGGGCTGGGAGAGGTTGGGTTACTCACTAGTCTGTGGGTGGGGCTGGGAGAGGTTGGGTTACTCACTGTGGGTGGGGTTGGGAGAGGTTGGGTTACTCACTAGTCTGTGGGTGGGGCTGGGAGAGGTTGGGTTACTCACTGTGGGTGGGGAGGGGAGAGGTTGGGTTACTCACTGTGGGTGGGGCTGGGAGAGGTTGGGTTACTCACTGTGGGTGGGGCTGGGAGAGGTTGGGTTACTCACTAGTCTGTGGGTGGGGCTGGGAGAGGTTGGGTTACTCACTGTGGGTGGGGAGGGGTTGGGTTACTCACTAGTCTGGCGGTACAGGAAGACCGTGTGGATGGAGTAGGGCTGGGAGAAGAGCAGAAGCCAGTACTGGTTGTCCAAGGTGTGGTCTGTGGGTGGGGAGAGGTTGGGTTACTCACTAGTCTGGCGGTACAGGAAGACCGTGTGGATGGAGTAGGGCTGGGAGAAAAGCAGAAGCCAGTACTGGTTGTCCAAGGTGTGGTCTGTGGGTGGGGAGGGGTTGGGTTACTCACTAGTCTGGCGGTACAGGAAGACCGTGTGGATGGAGTAGGGCTGGGAGAAGAGCAGAAGCCAGTACTGGTTGTCCAAGGTGTGGTCTGTGGGTGGGGAGAGGTTGGGTTACTCACTAGTCTGGCGGTACAGGAAGACCGTGTGGATGGAGTAGGGCTGGGAGAAGAGCAGAAGCCAGTACTGGTTGTCCAAGGTGTGGTCTGTGGGTGGGGAGAGGTTGGGTTACTCACTAGTCTGGCGGTACAGGAAGACCGTGTGGATGGAGTAGGGCTGGGAGAAGAGCAGAAGCCAGTACTGGTTGTCCAAGGTGTGGTCTGTGGGTGGGGAGAGGTTGGGTTACTCACTAGTCTGGCGGTACAGGAAGACCGTGTGGATGGAGTAGGGCTGGGAGAAGAGCAGAAGCCAGTACTGGTTGTCCAAGGTGTGGTCTGTGGGTGGGGAGAGGTTGGGTTACTCACTAGTCTGGCGGTACAGGAAGACCGTGTGGATGGAGTAGGGCTGGGAGAAGAGCAGAAGCCAGTACTGGTTGTCCAAGGTGTGGTCTGTGGGTGGGGAGGGGTTGGGTTACTCACTAGTCTGGCGGTACAGGAAGACCGTGTGGATGGAGTAGGGCTGGGAGAAGAGCAGAAGCCAGTACTGGTTGTCCAAGGTGTGGTCTGTGGGTGGGGAGGGGTTGGGTTACTCACTAGTCTGGCGGTACAGGAAGACCGTGTGGATGGAGTAGGGCTGGGAGAAGAGCAGAAGCCAGTACTGGTTGTCCAAGGTGTGGTCTGTGGGTGGGGAGGGGTTGGGTTACTCACTAGTCTGGCGGTACAGGAAGACCGTGTGGATGGAGTAGGGCTGGGAGAAGAGCAGAAGCCAGTACTGGTTGTCCAAGGTGTGGTCTGTGGGTGGGGAGGGGTTGGGTTACTCACTAGTCTGGCGGTACAGGAAGACCGTGTGGATGGAGTAGGGCTGGGAGAAGAGCAGAAGCCAGTACTGGTTGTCCAAGGTGTGGTCTGTGGGTGGGGAGGGGTTGGGTTACTCACTAGTCTGGCGGTACAGGAAGACCGTGTGGATGGAGTAGGGCTGGGAGAAGAGCAGAAGCCAGTACTGGTTGTCCAAGGTGTGGTCTGTGGGTGGGGAGAGGTTGGGTTACTCACTAGTCTGGCGGTACAGGAAGACCGTGTGGATGGAGTAGGGCTGGGAGAAGAGCAGAAGCCAGTACTGGTTGTCCAAGGTGTGGTCTGTGGGTGGGGAGGGGTTGGGTTACTCACTAGTCTGGCGGTACAGGAAGACCGTGTGGATGGAGTAGGGCTGGGAGAAGAGCAGAAGCCAGTACTGGTTGTCCAAGGTGTGGTCTGTGGGTGGGGAGGGGTTGGGTTACTCACTAGTCTGGCGGTACAGGAAGACCGTGTGGATGGAGTAGGGCTGGGAGAAGAGCAGAAGCCAGTACTGGTTGTCCAAGGTGTGGTCTGTGGGTGGGGAGAGGTTGGGTTACTCACTAGTCTGGCGGTACAGGAAGACCGTGTGGATGGAGTAGGGCTGGGAGAAGAGCAGAAGCCAGTACTGGTTGTCCAAGGTGTGGTCTGTGGGTGGGGAGAGGTTGGGTTACTCACTAGTCTGGCGGTACAGGAAGACCGTGTGGATGGAGTAGGGCTGGGAGAAGAGCAGAAGCCAGTACTGGTTGTCCAAGGTGTGGTCTGTGGGTGGGGAGAGGTTGGGTTACTCACTAGTCTGGCGGTACAGGAAGACCGTGTGGATGGAGTAGGGCTGGGAGAAGAGCAGAAGCCAGTACTGGTTGTCCAAGGTGTGGTCTGTGGGTGGGGAGAGGTTGGGTTACTCACTAGTCTGGCGGTACAGGAAGACCGTGTGGATGGAGTAGGGCTGGGAGAAGAGCAGAAGCCAGTACTGGTTGTCCAAGGTGTGGTCTGTGGGTGGGGAGGGGTTGGGTTACTCACTAGTCTGGCGGTACAGGAAGACCGTGTGGATGGAGTAGGGCTGGGAGAAGAGCAGAAGCCAGTACTGGTTGTCCAAGGTGTGGTCTGTGGGTGGGGAGGGGTTGGGTTACTCACTAGTCTGGCGGTACAGGAAGACCGTGTGGATGGAGTAGGGCTGGGAGAAGAGCAGAAGCCAGTACTGGTTGTCCAAGGTGTGGTCTGTGGGTGGGGAGGGGAGAGGTTGGGTTACTCACTAGTCTGGCGGTACAGGAAGACCGTGTGGATGGAGTAGGGCTGGGAGAAGAGCAGAAGCCAGTACTGGTTGTCCAAGGTGTGGTCTGTGGGTGGGGAGGGGTTGGGTTACTCACTAGTCTGGCGGTACAGGAAGACCGTGTGGATGGAGTAGGGCTGGGAGAAGAGCAGAAGCCAGTACTGGTTGTCCAAGGTGTGGTCTGTGCTGGCACAGAGCGCAGGGTAACCTTTGACCCCGTCGATGGTGTAGTGTGACGTCACTTCACTGCCCGACTGGCTGGTGGAGCCCATGTAGGCCAAGTTCTGGCCTGTAAATAAGATAATGCACACAACACGGGCTCATTACACACAACACGGGCTCATTACACACAACACGGGCTCATTACACACAACACGGGCTCATTACACACAACACGGGCTCATTACACACTGCAACTACAACACTCTCACCACTACCCACCTCCACTGACCACTACCCAACTCCACTGACCACTACCCATCTCAACTGACCACTACCCAACTCCACTGACCACTACCCATCTCCACTGACCACCACCCACCTCCACTGACCACTACCCAACTCCACTGACCACTACCCATCTCAACTGACCACTACCCAACTCCACTGACCACTACCCACCTCCACTGACCACTACCCACCTCCACTGACCACTACCCAACTCCACTGACCACTACCCATCTCAACTGACCACTACCCAACTCCAATGACCACTACCCACCTCCACTGACCACTACCCACCTCCACTGACCACTACCCACCTCCACTGACCACTACCCAACTCCACTGACCACTACCCATCTCAACTGACCACTACCCAACTCCAATGACCACTACCCACCTCCACTGACCACTACCCAACTCCACTGACCACTACCCATCTCAACTGACCACTACCCACCACCTACCTCCACCCACCCACATCCACTACCCACCTCCACTACCCACCTCCACTGACCACTACCCATCTCCACTGACCACCACCCACCTCCACTGACCACTACCCACCACCTACCTCCACCCACCCACATCCACTACCCACCTCCACTACCCACCTCCACTGACCACTACCCACCACCAACCTCCACTGACCACTACCCACCTTCCCTACCCACCTCCACTGACCACTACCCACCACCCACCTCCACTGTCCACTACCCACCTCCCCTACCCACCTCCACTGACCACTACCCACCACCTACCTCCCCTACCCACCTCCACTGACCACTACCCACCTCACCTACCCACCTCCACTGACCATTACCCACCACCTACCTCCCCTACCCACCTCCACTGACCACTACCCACCTCCACTACCCACCTCCACTGACCACTACCCACCACCCACCTCCCCTACCCACCTCCACTGACCACTACCCACCTCCACCTTCACTGACTACTATCCACCTCCACTACCCACTTCAACTACCAACCACCCACCTCCCCTACCCACCTCCACTGACCACTACCCACCTCACCTACCCACCTCCACTGACCACTACCCACCACCCACCTCCCCTACCCACCTCCACTGACCACTACCCACCTCCCCTACCCACCTCCACTGACCACTACCCACCTCCCCTACCCACCTCCACTGACCACTACCCACCTCCCCTACCCACCTCCACCTACCCACCTCCACTGACCACTACCCACCACTCACCTCTACTACCCACCTCCACTGACCACTACCCACCTCCCCTACCCACCTCCCCTACCCACCTCCACTGACCACTACCCACCTCCCCTACCCACCTCCACCTACCCACCTCCACTGACCACTACCCACCACTCACCTCTACTACCCACCTCCACTGACCACTACCCACCTCCCCTACCCACCTCCCCTACCCACCTCCACTGACCACTACCCACCACTCACCTCTACTACCCACCTCCACTGACCACTACCCACCTCCCCTACCCACCTCCCCTACCCACCTCCACTGACCACTACCCACCACCCCTACCCACCTCCACTGACCACCACGCACCTCCACTGACCACTATCCACCTCCACTACCCACCTCCACTGACCACTACCAACCACCCACCTCCCCTACCCACCTCCACTGACCACCACCCACTTCCACTGACCACTATCCACCTCCACTACCCACCTCCACTGACCACTACCAACCACCCACCTCCCCTACCCACCTCCACTGACCACTATCCACCTCCACTACCCACCTCCACTGACCACTACCAACCACCCACCTCCCCTACCCACCTCCACTGACCACTACCAACCACCCACCTCCCCTACCCACCTCCACTGACCACTATCCACCTCCACTACCCACCTCCACCTCCACTGACCACTACCAACCACCCACCTCCCCTACCCACCTCCACCTCCACTGACCACTACCAACCACCCCCCTCCACTGACCACTACCCACCACCACCCACCTCCATTGACCACTACCCACCTCCACTGACCACCACCCACCTCCACTGACCACTACCCACCACCACCCACCCACATCCACTACCCACCTCCACCGACCACTACCCACCTCCACTGACCACTACCCACCTCCACTGACCACCACCCACCTCCACTGACCACCACCCACCTCCACTGACCACTACCCACCTCCACCTACCCACCTCCACCACCCACCTCCATTGACCACTACCCACCACCACCCACCCACATCCACTACCCACCTCCACCTCCACTGACCACCACCCACCTCCACTGACCACTACCCACCTCCACCTACCCACCTCCACCACCCACCTCCACTGACCACTACCCACCACCACCCACCCACATCCACTACCCACCTCCACCTCCACTGACCACTACCCACCTCCACTGACCACTACCCACCTCCACTGACCACCACCCACCTCCACTGACCACTACCCACCTCCACCTCCACTGACCACTACCCACCTCCACTGACCACTACCCACCTCCACCTCCACTGACCACTACCCACCTCCACTGACCACTACCCACCTCCCCTACCCACCTCCACTGACCACTACCCACCACCTACCTCCCCTACCCACCTCCACTGACCACTACCCACCACCCACCTCACCTACCCACCTCCACTAACCACTATCCACCTCCACTACCCACCTCCACCTCCACTGACCACTACCAACCACCCACCTCCCCTACCCACCTCCACTGACCACTATCCACCTCCACTACCCACCTCCACCTCCACTGACCACTACCAACCACCCACCTCCCCTACCCACCTCCACTGACCACTATCCACCTCCACTACCCACCTCCACTGACCACTACCAACCACCCACCTCCACTACCCACCTCCACTGACCACTACCCACCTCCACTACCCACCTCCACTACCCACCTCCACCTCCACTGACCACTACCAACCACCCACCTCCACTGACCACTACCCACCTCCACTACCCACCTCCACTACCCACCTCCCCTACCCACCTCCACTACCCACCTCCCCTACCCACCTCCACTACCCACCTCCCCTACCCACCTCCACTGACCACTATCCACCTCCACTACCCACCTCCACTGACCACTACCAACCACCCACCTCCACTACCCACCTCCACTGACCACTACCCACCTCCACTACCCACCTCCACTACCCACCTCCACCTCCACTGACCACTACCAACCACCCACCTCCGCTGACCACTACCCACCTCCACTACCCACCTCCACTACCCACCTCCCCTACCCACCTCCACTACCCACCTCCCCTACCCACCTCCACTACCCACCTCCCCTACCCACCTCCACTACCCACCTCCACTGACCACTATCCACCTCCACTACCCACCTCCACTGACCACTACCAACCACCCACCTCCACTGACCACTACCCACCTCCACTACCCACCTCCACTACCCACCTCCACTACCCACCTCCCCTACCCACCTCCACTACCCACCTCCCCTACCCACCTCCACTACCCACCTCCCCTACCCACCTCCACCTACCCACCTCCCCTACCCACCTCCACTACCCACCTCCACCTACCCACCTCCACTACCCACCTCCACCTCCACTGACCACTACCAACCACCCACCTCCACTGACCACTACCCACCTCCACTACCCACCTCCACTACCCACCTCCCCTACCCACCTCCCCTACCCACCTCCCCTACCCACCTCCACTACCCACCTCCCCTACCCACCTCCACTACCCACCTCCACTGACCACTATCCACCTCCACTACCCACCTCCACTGACCACTACCAACCACCCACCTCCACTGACCACTACCCACCTCCACTACCCACCTCCACTACCCACCTCCCCTACCCACCTCCCCTACCCACCTCCACTACCCACCTCCCCTACCCACCTCCACTACCCACCTCCCCTACCCACCTCCACCTACCCACCTCCACTACCCACCTCCACCTACCCACCTCCACTACCCACCACCCACCTCCACTACCCACCTCCCCTACCCACCTCCACCTACCCACCTCCACCTACCCACCTCCACTACCCACCTCCACCTACCCACCTCCACTACCCACCACCCACCTCCACTACCCACCTCCACTGATGTACACTGAGCAGATGCTCCTCTCCCCCTCCCAGCTGATGGTGATCACCGTCACCAGCACCTGTTCGAACCGACAGATCAAATCTACCGTGACGTCATCAATGGTCAGCATCACTTGATCAGTACACGCCACTTCCGTTTGTGTTCGAAGTCTGAAGCCAATTTGTATACCGCTGTTTTCACCTATACAGATTTATGATCTTTTATATCATTCGCAGTATAAATGGTAGATATTTTATAAAAAGTATAAATGGTATACACTTTGAAATTGCCTATAAGAGGTTAGCAATTGATGAACTAAACCCACCTCTAGACCAACCCAATTAGACCCACCTCTAGACACCCACCCAACTAAACAAACCTCTAGACTCACGCAACTAAACTCACCCAACTAAACCCACCCAACTAAACCCACCCAACTAAACCCACCCAACTAAACCCACCTCTAGACAACCACCCAACTAAACCCACCTCTAGAACCACCCAACTAAACCCACCTCTAGACTACCACCCCACTAAACCCACGTCTAGAACCACCCAACTAAACCCACCTCTAGAACCACCCAACTAAACCCACCTCTAGACTACCACCCCACTAAACCCACGTCTAGACCCACCTTTGCGTTTAAAGACCAGCCTCATCCAGGTGAAGTAGAACGGCTTGTTGAGTGTGAGGGTCAGGCCTCTCATCGTGATGCAAGTTTTGTCATCGTTGTCACGCAGTAAGGAGTTGACACTTTCGATGTCGGCGGCAATGTCGTCTGTAGGCAGGTTACTGGCAGGTTAGAGGGGTAGGGGGGGTGCAGGTAGGGCACGGACAGACAGGACACAGTGACAGTCAGGTAGGACACAGTGACAGTCAGGTAGGACACAGTGACAGTCAGGTAGGACACAGTGACAGTCAGGTAGGACACAGTGACAGTCAGGTAGGACACAGTGACAAACAGGTAGGACACAGTGACAGACAGGTAGGAGCTAGAAGAATGACGTACATGTCTAAAGATGAACGAGCTAGAAGAATGACGTACATGTCTAAGTATGAACGAGCTAGAAGAATGTCGTACATGTCTAAAGATGAACGAGCTAGAAGAATGACGTACATGTTTAAAGATGAACGAGCTAGAAGAATGACGTACATGTCTAAGTATGAACGAGCTAGAAGAATGACGTACATGTCTAAAGATGAACGAGCTAGAAGAATGACGTACATGTTTAAAGATGAACGAGCTAGAAGAATGACGTACATGTCTAAGTATGAACGAGCTAGAAGAATGACGTACATGTCTAAAGATGAACGAGCTAGAAGAATGACGTACATGTTTAAAGATGAACGAGCTAGAAGAATGACGTACATGTCTAAAGATGAACGAGCTAGAAGAATGACGTACATGTCTAAAATGAACGAGCTAGAAGAATGACGTACATGTCTAAAGATGAACGAGCTAGAAGAATAACGTACATGTCTAAGGATGAACGAGCTAGAAGAATGACGTACATGTCTAAAGATGAACGAGCTAGAAGAATGACGTACATGTCTAAAGATGAACGAGCTAGAAGAATGACGTACATGTCTAACTATGAACGAGCTAGAAGAATGACGTGCATGTCTAAAGATGAACGAGCTAGAAGAATGACGAACATGTCTAAGATAAACGGGCTAGAAGAATGACGTACATGTCTAAAGATGAACGAGCTAGAAGAATGACGTACATGTCTAAAGATAAACGGGCTAGAAGAATGACGTACAGTACTGACATGACTCGGCAAACCAGTTCTTCTCACACAGACTGTCAGGCCTGAGGCACTTGCCGTCCGTATCGCAGTACCCGAGGGCACAGTGGCACAACATATTGTTGCCGAACTTGCTGATCCCTACACGAGAATACAGGCGGGGTTAGGTTGGTCTCGTTTAATCTAAGCGACATGTCTAAATGCCGAACTTGCTGATGCCTACACGAGAATACAGGCGGGGTTAGGTTGGCCTCGTTTAATCTAAGCGACATGTCTAAATGCCGAACTTGCTGATGCCTACACGAGAATACAGGCGGGGTTAGGTTGGTCTCGTTTAATCTAAGCGACATGTCTAAATGCCGAACTTGCTGATGCCTACACGAGAATACAGGCGGGGTTAGGTTGGTCTCGTTTAATCTAAGCGACATGTCTAAATGCCGAACTTGCTGATGCCTACACGAGAATACAGGCGGGGTTAGGTTGGCCTCGTTTAATCTAAGCGACATGTCTAAATGCCGAACTTGCTGATGCCTACACGAGAATATAGGCGGGGTTAGGTTGGTCTCGTTTAATCTAAGCGACATGTCTAAATGCCGAACTTGCTGATCCCTACACGAGAATACAGGCGGGGTTAGGTTGGTCCCGTTTAATCTAAGCGACATGTCTAAATGCCGAACTTGCTGATCCCTACACGAGAATACAGGCGGGGTTAGGTTGGCCTCGTTTAATCTAAGCGACATGTCTAAATGCCGAACTTGCTGATCCCTACACGAGAATATAGGCGGGGTTAGGTTGGTCTCGTTTAATCTAAGCGACATGTCTAAATGGCAATTCTGTCGAAATGTTTTTATGATAGATCAGTGTGAAACTGTTTTGGCATGGTTATATAAACATGTTTATTTGGCATATCTATCTGAATGTTAATGTGGCATGAGTGTATGAATATTTATCTGGCACTACTCACTCAGTTCACCTGCCTGGAGTTGGCACGCATCTCTGTATGAGCTTGTCACAAGTGTGTTTTGATCCCTATGTGACTCTGAGGCGTAGCGAGGGGTGGGGCTGGGGGGGACATATGTTCCCGGGCGCCGACCTTAGGGGGCGCCAAAATGGGTTGGAAAAACAAATTGAAAGTTTGAGTTGGGTGTAAATTGAAAGTTTGAGGGGGGGGGTGTGCAAATTGAAAGTTTGTCCCCGGGCGCCGGGAAGGGTCGCTACGCCTCTGATGTGACCTAAGGGTGACAGAGTGTTGTAACCCCCCCCCACACACACACACCCACACGTGCAGCACTCACCCTCGTGCTGACAGAAAAACTCGTGCGTCTTGTCGCAGTTCTCCTCAGTGATCTTGTCTCGCTTGACCACCAGACACTCCCTGCTGCTGTCGTGGGTTGCCGACAGGTTGAAGCTGCCGGGGTTGGGCAGGGGTTGCTTGTTGTGATACCAGTAGTAGGCGGCGGCCGACTGTTTGTAGCGGGCGCCGAGCCAGTACGTGTGGCTCTCTGTTGGATCTATTTATAGAACACGGGGCGCAACTCATCCAAGGTTTACCTCCTATACACACACGAAACACAGCCACAAACACACAAACGGAACAACCACACATGTACTGATAAATTACTATATTTGGGAGCAGCGTGGTCGAGTGGTTGGTAACTAAAAAGGTCTCGGGTCCAAACCCCCTTGTATGCGAGGCACTTTAGCTAGGGCCAGTAACCCATTTAGGAGAGCAACCACCCAAGTCAAACACGAGTGGATTCCCTTGTGCAAGCCGGTGTAGCCACATTTGAAACCAAACGTATTGCTTAGCATTCCTTTAGAATACACCGGTAAAGGTCAAGAGAGGGGTCACGGGGCTACCCACGATCCTTTCAAAGGCCCTGTAACTCGCCCATAGGATTCACTTCTTTGTGTGAGGTCATTGTCTCCTGCGGCAGACTCGACTAGAATTAGGTTTGTTTGATAAATAAAACTCTCATCACGAAAGGTCTGAGTGCCAATATACAAAGCAATGACGTCCCAGGTCTAACCCTAACCCCCCCCCCCCCCAGGTCTAACCTAACTCTTGACCCCCCCCCCCCCCCAGGTCTAACCTAAGCCTTGACCCTCCAGGTCTAACCTAAGCCTTGCCCCCCAGGTCTAACCTAAGCCTTGACCCCCCCCCAGGTCTAACCTAAGCCTTGACCCCCCCCCCCAGATCTAACCTAGGGCTTGACCCCCCAGGTCTAACCTAAGCCTTGACCCCCCCAGGTCTAACCTAAGCCTTGACCCCCCCCCCCAGGTCTAACCTAAGCCTTGACCCCCCCCCAGATCTAACCTAGGGCTTGACCCCCCAGGTCTAACCTAAGCCTTGACCCCCCCAGGTCTAACCTAAGCCTTGACCCCCCCCCCAGGTCTAACCTAAGCCTTGACCCCCCCCCAGGTCTAACCTAAGCCTTGACCCCCCCAGGTCTAACCTAAGCCTTGACCCCCCCCCCAGGTCTAACCTAGGCCTTAACCCCCCCCCCAGGTCTAACCTAAGCCTTGACCCCCCCCCCCCCCCAGGTCTAACCTAAGCCTTGACCCCCTCCCCCAGGTCTAACCTAGGCCTTAACCCCTCCCCCAGGTCTAACCTAAGCCTTGACCCCCCCCCCCCCAGGTCTAACCTAAGCCTTGACCCCCCCAGGTCTAACCTAAGCCTTGACCCCCCATGTCTAACCTAGGCCTTGACCCCCCCCCCCAGGTCTAACCTAGGCCTTAACCCCTCCCCCATGTCTAACCTAGGCCTTAACCCCCCCCCCCCCAGGTCTAACCTAAGCCTTGACCCCCCCCCAGGTCTAACCTAGGCCTTAACCCCCCCCCCCAGGTCTAACCTAAGCCTTGACCCCCCCAGGTCTAACCTAAGCCTTGACCCCCCCCCCAGGTCTAACCTAAGCCTTGACCCCCCCCCCAGGTCTAACCTAAGCCTTGACCCCCCCCCCCAGGTCTAACCTAGGCCTTAACCCCCCCCCCCCCAGGTCTAACCTAAGCCTTGACCCCCCCAGGTCTAACCTAAGCCTTGACCCCCCCCCCAGGTCTAACCTAAGCCTTGACCCCCCCCCCCCAGGTCTAACCTAGGCCTTAACCCCCCCCCCCCCCAGGTCTAACCTAAGCCTTGACCCCCCCCCCAGGTCTAACCTAAGCCTTGACCCCCCCCAGGTCTAACCTAAGCCTTGACCCCCCCCCCCCAGGTCTAACCTAGGCCTTGACCCCCCCCCAGGTCTAACCTAAGCCTTGACCCCCCCCCAGGTCTAACCTAAGCCTTGACCCCCCCAGGTCTAACCTAGGCCTTGACCCCCCCCCAGGTCTAACCTAGGCCTTAACCCCCCCCCCCCCAGGTCTAACCTAAGCCTTGACCCCTCCCCCAGGTCTAACCTAGGCCTTAACCCCCCCCCCCCCCAGGTCTAACCTAAGCCTTGACCCCCCCCCCCCCCCAGGTCTAACCTAAGCCTTGACCCCCCCCCCCCCCAGGTCTAACCTAAGCCTTGACCCCCAATGTCAAGGCCTTACCTTTATCACCGACGATCAAGACGGCCTCCTGTAAGTTCTGTAGGACCATCAAGTCATCAGACGACAAGAGCGTCATCTGCTTCTCTAGACAAAATTGCTGAAACCAGACCAGGCACATTCCGTCAGACAGGCTACTGTTTTGTTACAACTAATCATTAAACACATTCGTACGCACAGGTTTCGAATGTCTGCCAACACATTCGTTACGCACATGTTTCGAATGTCTGCCAACACATTCGTTACGCACAGGTTTCGAATGTCTGCCAACACATTCGTTACGCACAGGTTTCGAATGTCTGCCAACACATTCGTTACGCACATGTTTCGAATGTCTGCCAACACATTCGTTACGCACATGTTTCGAATGTCTGCCAACACATTCGTTACGCACAGGTTTCGAATGTCTGCCAACACATTCGTTACGCACAGGTTTCGAATGTCTGCCAACACATTCGTTACGCACAGGTTTCGAATGTCTGCCAACACATTCGTTACGCACAGGTTTCGAATGTCTGCCAACACATTCGTTACGCACAGGTTTCGAATGTCTGCCAACACATTCGTTACGCACAGGTTTCGAATGTCTGCCAACACATTCGTTACGCACAGGTTTCGAATGTCTGCCAACACATTCGTTACGCACAGGTTTCGAATGTCTGCCAACACATTCGTTACGCACAGGTTTCGAATGTCTGCCAACACATTCGTTACGCACAGGTTTCGAATGTCTGCCAACACATTCGTTACGCACAGGTTTCAAATGTCTGCCTGAATCAAATGTATGTTATCTATATAAAGGGTCGAACAATTGTCGGGGAAAAGAGCCATGTTTTTTTAAAGGCCATTTTCCCATCCGCCCTCCCCTCACACTCCACAGGTTCCGCCTCTGTTTTTTACCTTTGCTTTTTCCCAGGAGAGAGCCGTACTTTCGTACTTGTAGCAGACTTTGTGCATGATGATGCCGTCGATGTTTTTACAGTCGACTGGTCGAACTGCAAGAAACGACAGCGTTACTTCATAACCCTAGCCGTTACAGTCCCAAACACACACAGCGTTACTTCATAACCCTAGCCGTTACAGTCACAAACACACAGCCCTAAACAGAGCCCTAAACACAGACAGCCCAAACACACAGCCCCAAACACACAGCACTAAACACAGACAGCCCCAAACACACAGCCCTAAACACAGCCCTAAACACACACAGCCCAAAACACACAGCCCCAAACACACAGCCCCAAACACAGACAGCCCCAAACACACACAGCCCCAAACACACACAGCCCCAAACACACAGCCCCAAACACACACAGCCCCAAACACACAGCCCCAAACACACACAGCCCCAAACACACACAGACCCAAACACACAGCCCCAAACACACACAGCCCCAAACACACACAGCCCCAAACACACACAGCCCCAAACACACACAGCCCCAAACACACACAGCCCCAAACACACACAGCCCCAAACACACAGACCCAAACACACAGCCCCAAACACACACAGCCCCAAACACACACAGCCCCAAACACACACAGCCCCAAACACACACAGCCCCAAACACACACAGCCACCAAACACAGACAGCCCCAAACACAGACAGACCCAAACACACACAGCCCCAAACACACACAGCCCCAAACACACACAGCCCCAAACACACACAGCCACCAAACACAGACAGCCCCAAACACAGACAGACCCAAACACACAGACAAGGGTCCTTTTACTGAGCATGCCAACATTGTGCATACCCCGTCAGACAGTCTATGTCAACATTGTGCATACCCCGTCAGACAGTCTATGTCAACATTGTGCATACCCCGTCAGACAGTCTATGTCAACATTGTGCATACCCCGTCAGACAGTCTATGCCAACATTGTGCATACCCCGTCAGACAGTCTATGCCAACATTGTGCATACAACGTCAGACTATGCCAACATTGTGCATACCCCGTCAGACAGTCTATGTCAACATTGTGCATACAACGTCAGACTATGCCAACATTGTGCATACCCCGTCAGACAGTCTATGTCAACATTGTGCATACCCCGTCAGTCTATGCCAACATTGTGCATACCCCGTCAGTCAGTCTATGCCAACATTGTGCATACCCCGTCAGACAGTCTATGTCAACATTGTGCATACCCCGTCAGACAGTCTATGTCAACATTGTGCATACCCCGTCATACCCCGTCAGACAGTCTATGTCAACATTGTGCATACCCCGTCAGACAGTCTATGTCAACATTGTGCATACCCCGTCAGACAGTCTATGCCAACATTGTGCATACCCCGTCAGTCTATGTCAACATTGTGCATACCCCGTCAGACAGTCTATGTCAACATTGTGCATACCCCGTCAGTCAGTCTATGCCAACATTGTGCATACCCCGTCAGTCTATGCCAACATTGTGCATACCCCGTCAGACAGTCTATGTCAACATTGTGCATACCCCGTCAGACAGTCTATGTCAACATTGTGCATACCCCGTCATACCCCGTCAGACAGTCTATGCCAACATTGTGCATACCCCGTCATACCCCGTCAGACAGTCTATGCCAACATTGTGCATACCCCGTCATACCCCGTGAGACAGTCTATGCCAACATTGTGCATACCCCGTCAGACAGTCTATGTCAACATTGTGCATACCCCGTCATACCCCGTCAGACAATCTATGCCAACATTGTGCATACCCCGTCATACCCCGTCAGACAGTCTATGTCAACATTGTGCATACCCCGTCAGACAGTCTATGCCAACATTGTGCATACCCCGTCATACCCCGTCAGTCAGTCTATGTCAACATTGTGCATACCCCGTCATACCCCGTCAGACAGTCTATGCCAACATTGTGCATACCCCGTCAGACAGTCTATGCCAACATTGTGCATACCCCGTCAGTCAGTCTATGCCAACATTGTGCATACCCCGTCAGTCAGTCTATGCCAACATTGTGCATACCCCGTCAGACAGTCTATGTCAACATTGTGCATACCCCGTCAGACAGTCTATGTCAACATTGTGCATACCCCGTCATACCCCGTCAGACAGTCTATGTCAACATTGTGCATACCCCGTCAGACAGTCTATGTCAACATTGTGCATACCCCGTCAGACAGTCTATGTCAACATTGTGCATACCCCGTCATACCCCGTCAGACAGTCTATGCCAACATTGTGCATACCCCGTCAGACAGTCTATGTCAACATTGTGCATACCCCGTCAGTCTATGTCAACATTGTGCATACCCCGTCAGACAGTCTATGTCAACATTGTGCATACCCCGTCAGACAGTCTATGTCAACATTGTGCATACCCCGTCATACCCCGTCAGACAGTCTATGTCAACATTGTGCATACCCCGTCATACCCCGTCAGACAGTCTATGCCAACATTGTGCATACCCCGTCAGTCAGTCTATGTCAACATTGTGCATACCCCGTCAGACAGTCTATGTCAACATTGTGCATACCCCGTCAGACAGTCTATGCCAACATTGTGCATACCCCGTCAGTCAGTCTATGTCAACATTGTGCATACCCCGTCATACCCCGTCAGACAGTCTATGTCAACATTGTGCATACCCCGTCAGACAGTCTATGCCAACATTGTGCATACCCCGTCAGACAGTCTATGCCAACATTGTGCATACCCCGTCATACCCCGTCAGACAGTCTATGCCAACATTGTGCATACCCCGTCAGACAGTCTATGTCAACATTGTGCATACCCCGTCATACCCCGTCAGACAGTCTATGCCAACATTGTGCATACCCCGTCATACCCCGTCAGACAGTCTATGCCAACATTGTGCATACCCCGTCATACCCCGTCAGACAGTCTATGTCAACATTGTGCATACCCCGTCATACCCCGTCAGACAGTCTATGTCAACATTGTGCATACCCCGTCATACCCCGTCAGACAGTCTATGCCAACATTGTGCATACCCCGTCATACCCCGTCAGACAGTCTATGCCAACATTGTGCATACCCCGTCATACCCCGTCAGACAGTCTATGTCAACATTGTGCATACCCCGTCATACCCCGTCAGACAGTCTATGCCAACATTGTGCATACCCCGTCATACCCCGTCAGACAGTCTATGTCAACATTGTGCATACCCCGTCAGACAGTCTATGTCAACATTGTGCATACCCCGTCAGTCAGTCTATGTCAACATTGTGCATACCCCGTCATACCCCGTCAGACAGTCTATGTCAACATTGTGCATACCCCGTCAGACAGTCTATGTCAACATTGTGCATACCCTGTCAGTCAGTCTATGTCAACATTGTGCATACCCCGTCATACCCCGTCAGACAGTCTATGTCAACATTGTGCATACCCTGTCAGTCAGTCTATGTCAACATTGTGCATACCCCGTCAGACAGTCTATGTCAACATTGTGCATACCCCGTCAGACAGTCTATGTCAACATTGTGCATACAACGTCAGACTATGCCAACATTGTGCATACCCCGTCAGACAGTCTATGTCAACATTGTGCATACCCCGTCAGTCTATGTCAACATTGTGCATACCCCGTCAGACAGTCTATGTCAACATTGTGCATACCCTGTCAGTCAGTCTATGTCAACATTGTGCATACCCCGTCATACCCCGTCAGACAGTCTATGTCAACATTGTGCATACCCTGTCAGTCAGTCTATGTCAACATTGTGCATACCCCGTCAGACAGTCTATGTCAACATTGTGCATACCCCGTCAGACAGTCTATGTCAACATTGTGCATACAACGTCAGACTATGCCAACATTGTGCATACCCCGTCAGACAGTCTATGTCAACATTGTGCATACCCCGTCAGTCTATGTCAACATTGTGCATACCCCGTCAGACAGTCTATGTCAACATTGTGCATACCCTGTCAGTCAGTCTATGTCAACATTGTGCATACCCCGTCATACCCCGTCAGACAGTCTATGTCAACATTGTGCATACCCTGTCAGTCAGTCTATGTCAACATTGTGCATACCCCGTCAGACAGTCTATGTCAACATTGTGCATACCCCGTCAGACAGTCTATGTCAACATTGTGCATACAACGTCAGACTATGCCAACATTGTGCATACCCCGTCAGACAGTCTATGTCAACATTGTGCATACCCCGTCAGTCTATGTCAACATTGTGCATACCCCGTCAGACAGTCTATGCCAACATTGTGCATACCCCGTCATACCCCGTCAGACAGTCTATGTCAACATTGTGCATACCCCGTCAGACAGTCTATGTCAACATTGTGCATACCCCGTCATACCCCGTCAGTCAGTCTATGCCAACATTGTGCATACCCCGTCAGCCAGTCTATGTCAACATTGTGCATACCCCGTCAGACAGTCTATGTCAACATTGTGCATACCCCGTCATACCCCGTCAGTCAGTCTATGCCAACATTGTGCATACCCCGTCAGTCTATGTCAACATTGTGCATACCCCGTCATACCCCGTCAGACAGTCTATGTCAACATTGTGCATACCCCGTCATACCCCGTCAGACAGTCTATGTCAACATTGTGCATACCCCGTCAGACAGTCTATGTCAACATTGTGCATACCCCGTCAGTCTATGTCAACATTGTGCATACCCCGTCATACCCCGTCAGACAGTCTATGTCAACATTGTGCATACCCCGTCAGACAGTCTATGTCAACATTGTGCATACCCCGTCAGTCAGTCTATGCCAACAGAGAAATGAACCATGAACAACTCACTGTCAAGTTCTGGGTTCACCAGTCGGATTATGCTGCAGACAATAGATAGACAGAGGGGTGCTCGTAATGCCATTCAAGCGTCGATGCCAAGAGTGGACTGGAAGTTGTCAAGAAAAAAGACTGATATTATTCAACAGACGGCATATGTGCGTACCGCTACGCATCCACATAAAGGTCCAAAACTTATCCTGCACTTTAAAAGTAACTCTAAACTAGACCTATGTTTACCTAGGCCTATCCTGCTCTCTAAAAGTAACCCTTAGTTTAACCCTAGCGCTAACCCTTGTAAATCCCGAAGTATCACTGAGCAGTGATACCCGCAGCAAACAGCACTGATATCCTACTGATGTGTTACTTTTTATAGAACTTTGTGAGTTTCGAGTTGGTTCACCCTAATGGGAATAAGACATAGGCCTAGTCCATATGATTTGCTATCCTCAAGGACTAGGCCTATGTCTTATTCCCGGTGCCCTTTCAAAACGACCCGGGACAAATCGGCCCCGTCAAAACGGCCCCGTTAATTTGACCCCGTCAAATCGACCCCCGACAAAACGACCCCGTCAAAATAGCCCCGTCAAAAGGGCCCCGACTTATTGGCTCCCGCCAAATGGGCTCCCGTCATATTGACTTGCGACATATAGGCTCCCGACAAATGGGCTCCCAATATTTAGGCTCCCGACAAATGGACTCCCGACATATTAACCCCTGACAAATAGGCTCAGGACATATTGGCTCCCGACAAAGTGGCTCCCGACATATTGGCTCCCGACATAAGGGCTCAAGACAAATGGGCTCCCGACAAATTGGCTTACGACATATTGGCTACCGATAAATGGGCTCCCGACATATTGGCTCCAGGCAATTGGGCTCCCGACATATTGGCTTTTGACAAAATGACTCCCAACATATTGGCTCCAGACCACTATTGGCATAAAAGTAACCATTTTGTCCTACCTCCACTACTACTATAAATTCTTTTAAATGCCCGAATGAAATTGTTTTTCATGAACCAACATTAATTCACAAATAAATCGAGCCCTTAGGGGTCATCCTTAAATGACGTCACGCTTTGTTTGACGATTTTTACCTCCCCTCTCCCCTCTGTCACACGTCGTCACAAAAAGCCAGACCCCCCCCCTAAAATGACGTCACACCTCAACCTACAACCTCCCTCAAAATTGCAGTTGAATTTTTTTTAAACATCGATATTTTTCTAAAATCTTGTCTAAACTATTACAATTTATTAAAACAGTTATCTAAAATGCGAAATAACGTCCAAAATTCGTTTTCTAACATTGCTTTTTTATAATGCAAAAATGTGACGTCGCAACATCTGAACCCCCCCCCCCCCCCCTCTTCACACATCGTCACAAAATTACGGACCCCCCTCCCCCCTACGAGTGTGACGTCATTTATGGATGACCCCTTAACAGCTAAATTCCACCAATTCTAAAGTTTAGATAATGTTTAATTTACAACAGAAAAGATCTGTTGCTTAAAAGCAAGCACAGATGGTGTAAATGAATGATTTACATGATGTTTACATGACAACATCATCTTGTTTTGATAACCTACAAGCATACTGCAGGTAGGAAGGTATATCGTGGACCCTTCTCCCCACACACTGAGTTGGAACAGCCTATAACCGACTCAATTATGGATGTCATAGATAAATGACCCTTAAATTAAAAAATACTATATTTTATAATAGATAAACTAATATAAAAATAAGGCCTGCCGAACAAGAGATGCATACGTTGTATTCAGTGGCGGAACTAAAAAAAATGGGCCACCCCGCAAAAATATTTTTAGCCCCCCCTCATTATCTATATCTATATCTATATCTATATCTATATCTATATCTATATCTATATCTATATCTATATCTATATCTATATCTATATCTATATCTATATCTATATCTATATCTATATCTATATCTATATCTATATCTATATCTATATCTATATCTATATCTATATCTATATCTATATCTATATCTATATCTATATCTATATCTATATCTATATCTATATCTATATCTATATCTATATCTATATCTATATCTATATCTATATCTATATCTATATCTATATCTATATCTATATCTATATCTATATCTATATCTATATCTATATCTATTGCCAAAAGTAGCAAACATCAGTAATTCTTCCAGGCATCTCTTCGAAAAAAGTCTGGAAGAAACACTGGCAAACATAATTAGAACATGCTAAGGGTTTAGCGTGGTCGTATTGGTAAAGCTCATCATAGAATCACGAGTTCGAATCTTACGGCAGATAACTGTGGAAAGCCTCCCATATTGGAGAGAAAACTCCAAAATCAAACAACTGCTACCTGCCCTGTAGTTTGTTCTTGGCTGGACATAGACCACGGAAGCAAATCCAAAAAGAAAAGCAAGCAGAAATTGGAGTCAGCGGCCTGTATGGCGCAGAAGAAGCTGACACCAATTAAGCTACTTAAAAATTGCGCTGAAAGAGATCCCTTTCAACATTACAACTAAAAAGGAAGAAGAATAAGCTAATACTAAAAATTGCTATTTTTATAAGGTTATTGTAAGTCTAATAAGTATGTCTATATCTACTAATTAATAATAAGAGGCCTACACGCGTTTTAATGTCTTAACAGTTGAGTAAAAGTAACAGTAGTTGGCAATCAAATTAATGAATTAAATGTTAACAATAAAATAATAATTAAATAAGCCCTAACCATTGTAAACGTAATATTTTTACATGTAAGGCGTAAGGCCTACTCTTTTTCGCCTATTAATTAAACCTTAATTAAACTTTAGTTTAGGCCTAAGGCTTAAAGTATTCATAGTGCTAATTAAAACATGGTACTTGTAACTAGATCTATACTTTGAAATAAATAAAACTTGAATCAACTCACTGGCAGTCAAATGTTAGAAGAGAAGTGCATTTGACTTACACTTTAAAAACTGTACTCAATTTTTATTCTAACCATTCAAAAAAGGTGTCTTTTGGTGCAGACGATAGGATGATGTGTCATTTCTAAAAATAGAATTTAAAAAGCCTAATCTAAAATTCAATTATTAACTTACATTTAGGAATGATAATTAGATCTAGTCCTAGTACCTAATCAAACGTTTTAAAGAGGCATTGCTAGTTTACTAACAAATTGACAATGCAGTCCCATCATTTCGAGATTCGCCACATTTTGTGCTCTAACTCTGGTAAACTATGCTTAGGCCGTAAAGCTGGAAAAACTAACAAATCCTGGCAATTTCCGCTCAAGCTTTAGAAATTACAGAAAGTGAACAGGTCACAGTTTGGTAAGTCAAAGTCTAGAACTCTAGATTCCTAGATACTTTAAAACTTTAATATTTAAAATTTGAAGCCAAAACAAAAAAACAACAACTAACAGTTAACAAATCCCGGTAGATCTAGATCTAGATTCTAACTTCAACTTCATCAGTCAATCTCAATTTTAATCAATTTTGAATGGACACCAGTGACTCCAGTGAGTTAACGAAAATCCTTCCGTAAACGTAGGCTTTTTGATGAGAATTACAGAATGATTTTTTTTATTAAAAATGTATCAATAATAGCTAGAACACTAGTAAACTAAGCTAATTTAGCATATTTTAACTTTCTGTGTAAAGTCATTATTACTGAAAAAAAATTCCAAAGTCAGGTCAGTCTGTGGCAACCTCCAATGAACTTGACAGAAGGAAAAAAAACTTGACCCGTGACCTTCATTAAAACAGAATTTGCTTTTGTTTTTTTTTTAATTTTCAGTATACATGTGCTTAATCTTACCCAATAAGTGATAAAAATTTGAAAATTAATTTTAATTACTGGTGTAAAGTGACATAAACAGCTTAATAAACACGTGTTTTCTTGAGGGGGTGTGGCCCGGGTGTGGCACATCCTGACATCGCATTGTTTGTAACTTTATATTTCTGTGTTTTATGACTATATTTGTTCACAATCAGCATGCTATGCTTTTAATTTTGATAAAGGGTAAGTATACCAAGTTACAAAACCTGAAATCTAACTAATAATTCATACTTTCAGTTTAAAAAATAATGAAAACGATCATCAATGAAGAAAGCGTAAACATTCTATTTTTAGGTGTGACATAAAAAAACAGTCATAAATCTAGCCAAATGATTGGATTCTTGCGCAGCACACATTTTCCCGCGCCTCGTTTTCACTAAGCAAGATTATAATAAAATGGCATTATTGGGGGGTGATCGTTTTCCCACGCACATATCTCATTAACACGCCAAATTATTACCAGTTAATGGTAATGTGTGTAAAATTAATACTTTAAAGTTTACATCTGACATAAGCTGGTTTGCATCTGGAAGCGATATGTAAGAGTTATTTGATATAAAAGACAAGAATTCATAGAGCTACTTTCACTAAGGCGCCGCTTGCGAGACAAACAAAGGAATTAGGCCAAAAGTAGATCCGACAATTCTTAAATAACAGACTTAAATAGAAACGGATAGTTCCGATTTCTTAAATTAACGATGGCTTCGTAATCATTAGTTTTATCGCTCTACCCATTAGTGAAAGCGAAACTGGTCGCCATTTTTGGTAAGCGCATGAGCCGTGAGATGGCTTCAAAACAACAAACCCGGAAGCTGCGAATTCGAACGGCCTAGTAAACGCCAGTAAGCGGTAATGTTGTTGACATGGAATAAAAATGTGCTTTTTTAGATTTAGGACCGTAAAAATAATAAAAGATGATAAAATTTTATTAAAAACTTAAGCCTAAAATTAATTCAGAAATTTCTAGATCTAGATTCATTCTAGAATCAAGATCTAGATCTAGATCTATACAAGTTGCAGATCCAGAGAAATTGAAAATAATTTGTTGAGTTTATAAGGCTTTATTACTATTTATTTTCATCAAGCCTAAGTTATAACCCAATGTTTCACTTTCGTAAGACAAACATTGATTGGCTGTACAAGAACCCCGTGATCGATTTCTGACAGCCCCACTTTATAGTTTTTTTTGTTTACAAAACTTTGCAGATCAAGTTTTTAAATAACAATGCAAATTTAAATCCCTTGACCTAGTTTTCTTTTTTTAGCTTACAATTTACAATAAAATTTATGGCGGCCTATCGAATAGCAGGATGCCATTGTTTATGTCGCCATTACACGTGAAAACCAAATTGTTTTTTGTTTTTTTTTTAAATTTTTATTTAGTTAGGCCTACCGAAAATATTAAAAACATCAAATACATCCAATCTTTAGTAAAGTCCGAAAAAAACCAGACAGGGAGGATTTTATGACCATATTAATTGTAACTAGTAACTAGTAACTACGCCGTGCATGATTTTTAAATTAATTTATGGACTTCTCAAATACCTTTGAGACTTTTCTCGCTGGTGTCCATTTGAGTAGAATTTTATCACATCCTTCTATAGAATCTAGTAGATCTAGATCTAGCTAGATTCTAGATATTTTAGAAAGTGAGCAGAAGTCACTGAGTCACTCACTCTTGATAACTAATTCAGTCTAATTCTAATAACTAGATCTAGAGCTAGAGCTAGATCTAATAACTATGAGTATGAATTATCATAATCAGAGTGAGTGATTATGGCCTCAGAGCTCAGTATGGCTGAGTATGGTAAGTCTAGAGTACTCTTGAGTCTAGATCAGACAAATCTAAAATAAAAGATTCTAGATCTAGATCTAGATTTGGTAATCTCACTGAATTTAATTAATTATCCAGTAATTAAAATTTTTGTTGAAATTTGTTACCATTCATTACTTTACTGTAAACTGTAAACCATAAACCATAGTTTATTTCATCGTTGTAATAAAAATAAAGTCAAATGCATTAAATTAATGCTTTAATTTAATTATAAGTTTAGTTTAATTGTCAGAAAATTAGCAAAAATGATTGCGACCAAGTTGAAGAGAATCCTTCCATCATAATAATCATAGTGTAGACGGATTAAAAACATGCTTTTTTTAGATTTTGCAATCAAAGCGATAACAAAATATATAAAAACTTGAGCGAAGAAAGTTTAATATTTTTAGAATCAATGTTATAAAAGTTGCAAATCCTGAGAACTTGAAAATAATTTGTTGAGTTTAAGGCTACATTTCTATTTATTTTCATTAGACCTATGTTAAGTTATAACCCTATGATAAAGGTTTTAAATACAATGCAAATTTAAACCCCATGACCTAGTTTTCCATTATTTTCAATGTATACAATAAAATTTATGGTAGCCTATTGAAAAGAAGGATGCCATTGTTTATGTCGCCATTACATGTGAAAACCTAATGGTTTTTTTATTTTTAGTTACCGAAAATATTAAAAACATATACATCCTATTTTTAGTAAAAGATGAAAAAAAAACCAGAGGGGACATCCATAAATGATGTCACGCTTTTTTTGACAATTTTTACCTCCCCCCTCCCCTTCGTCACACACCATCACAAAAAGCCAGATCCCCCTCCCTAAAATGACTTCACACCTCAGCCTTCAACCCCTCTCAAAATTGCAGCTGAATTTATCTTAAAACATTGATATTCTTTCAAAATCTTGGGTGAACTTTGTCAGTATAGAGTATTTTAATCTATTTATATTACAATTTATTAAAACTGTTTTCTAAAACGAGAAATAATGACTAAAACTCGTTTTCTAACATTGCTTTTTTGTAATGCAAAAGTGTGACGTCACAATATCTGAACCCCACTCCCACTCTTCACACACCGTCACAAAATTACGGACCCCCCTCTCCCCTACAGTGTGACGTCATTTATGGACGACCCCTAAGACTAGTAATGTGAAAGAAAGGTGACTCATTAATATTGCTTTAATACAAGTAGGCCTATATTGAATATTATTGTGATAAATTTGAATTATTTGTGTCATATATAATAGATAGTTGAAAAATAAACCAAAAGCGATGGCTAAATATATTAATATAGGCCAGAAATTGACTTTAAAATGCAGTGCTTTTGGGCAAGATTTGCTATTCTATGTAAATTAGAGTGGTTCCCCTGAATCTCTATTATAATTTAATGAAAATAAACTTAAACAAGATGGCTGTTTAAGTAAACGAGCTTGGTTTTAATATGATGAAAACATTCCTAATTTTTATTTAATTCTGAAAAGTTTTATTAAAACTATTTAAAAACAGGTATATAAAAAAACATTTTTGTAACTTTTAAAACACAAATCTTCCTAGCAATGTGAAATTATTATCAAAATTTAATGAGTTACCTTTCTTTCACATTACTAGCCTCTGCCAATTTTACGCATCTAAAACAATTGATTACCATTAGCTCTATATAATATATTGTATTGTGGTTGCTGGTTAGGCCATATAGAATCTACAATATTTTAGATCCAGTTTTGAGGTAAATAATAATAAATAGTTTGGTTAGGGGCTGGAGTTGAAGAGTTGATAAGTTTTAGATTTTAGAGGCTAGTTTCACCTCTACAAAAAATCCCTTTAAAAGTATTTTAATTTCAAAATTTCAGTCACAAAATAAAGATAATTAGATAGGTAGACCAATACTTAAACCAAGGCCTCTTTTTCTTTCTGCGTTTGGTTAGGGCCTTCTTCTGGATTTCCTATAATTTGTTGTATAATTTTAGCAGCTAGACCAGTGGTCTTAACATGGGTTCTTTTATACCTCAGGGACTAGGTGTAAGTCTCAGGGGTTTGTGGAAGTTAAGACACACACACTCAATACATATGATTTGTGATCCGATTTTGTCAGTTTGAATTATAGAACCTGAGGTAGCATTACAAAAAATTTCGTCAGAGCCAGATAACATGTATTGGTATTATATTTCTATTATCGTGGAACCCTTTACATCACGACACACATTGTGTCCACTCCAACTTATGTAGTAGTGCGTTGATAGTGCATACACATACTGTGATGAATATTAGCAGCATGAACCCAATTTTATTTCTTTACTATGGCTTATAGACTTGGGGCTAACATGACAGTACA